AAGACGTTGGTTGGGCAACATAATCGCTACTTCCTCTACACGGCGGGGGATGGCCCCTCAAATAACCTCCACCTGTTTCTCAACCTTGCATGGACTGATCTAGGGCTTCAGGGTTCCATTTCCCACACCATGCTCTGCACTGCCCTGGCAGACACTGTGAGTTTGGTAATGACTGCACATTTAACTGTTACCAATTCCAGTTTTACTAATTATCCATATCTTTTCAGGTGAAGAGATACCAGGACCCATCCAAACGTGAGGTGCTGTCACGGTTTATGTGCCACGACTTAAGGACTGCTAACCAGTACTATGCCAGCAACCCCGGTGTTAAGGAGGCCTTGGGCATCAGATACATGTTTCAGCAGTCGTTTGCACAGGTGAGAATGGATGCACAAGCCGAGGCCGGGATGGAGCCTGAAGCAGCAGGTCCCTCCGCTGCCCCGGAGCCAGAGCGAAAGGCAAAGCGAAAGACATCCTCCGTTCGAGCAGGGCGAGCTCCAGCCCATTGTCACGAGTTCAGCAGCAGCAGCGAAGATGAATTAACTCTGGTTTACCAAGATACCACCAGTGATCCCTCGGAGGATGAAGCCGATGCAGAGTTCCAGGCTGGGTTGCTGGAGCGGGCGAATAAACGGGAGAAAGAACCAAATGAGACTCTCGTCGATTCTGCTGACAATGGCAGTGACAATCCCTTAGAGTCTACTTGCTTATCGAAGACTCTCCAGGAGCGAATTCGCTAAAGACTCACTGTAAATATGCATATGTGTATACATGTTCTTGTGCAATTGAAAATAAATATATTGTTATAATTAAATACTGTTTCTTCTTTTCAAAATGCACCGACACACCCACAAAGTCAGCACTGGACTATCAGAGTGGAGGCTCTTGGTAAAAACTCTATTTTAACCCACTGTATGGTTCCCAAGGGCACCGGCATAGATGCTTTCCATCAGCACTGGTGCATTTGGTGACCGTTCAGGCGCTGTCTACCTGCTGTTTTTCTCTCTGGGACTCTGTCAAAGTGCTGGCATCTCCATGCGCACCGTGAGGGCCCAGGTACCCAAACTTAAGCACACATCCTCTGACAAAAAACAGAAATGAATGACTTGCATACAAGCATACCCCTGGTCACCTAAACGTGTCTGAATGTCTGGTAGTCACGTGGTTGTCCGCTGTAGGATGCTTGAGGGCGGACGATAAAACACCACAAAATCCACCCCCCTTTTAGGGTTACCAGGGGCACGAGGTTCTGGAGGGTGTGATCCTCTGGGTTTAGTCCGTGGGGGAGTGTTTAAGTCCTGGGGCCCGGGGACCCACGGTGCGAAAGGTTATGGAAGTGCGTATGTTAGGGAGACATGCTGGAGCTGCTTAGTCCGTCCTTTGGGTGTCTGTGAGCCACCACAAATAGGTGGTTTTCCCGGTCTATTTCATGGAAGTCTGACATGAGCAGAGTGCCCATGTTAGGGAGACATGCTGGAGCTGCTTAGTCCGTCCTTTGGGTGTCTGTGAGCCGCCACAAATAAGTGGTTTTCCCGGTGTCTGTCCTGGATGAGTGAAATAATCAGAGGGCCATGTGAGGTAGACATCCTGGAGCTACTTAGTCCGTCCTTTGGGGCTCTGTGAGGGGCCAAATAGAGATGGTTTTCGCGGTCTCTGTCCTGGAGGTGTGAAATAACCTGTTTGCCATGTGAGGGAGAGATGCTGGAGCTGCTTAGTCCGTCCTCTGGGGTTCTGTGAGGGGCTACAGAGAGGTGGTTTTTCCCCGCCTTTCAGAGACTCATTGCTGGATAGAAAAGCCATGTGCATCACCCTGGATCTCTGCATGTGTGTGTGCCTGTGAGTCTGAGACACTAACAGCAGTGACTCTGCTGTTTTTAACCTTCTTGTACATTTCGTGATTCAAATGTTAACGAAATGGACAGATTTCGTGGATCAAATCTTAACGAAATGGACAGATTTCGTGGATCAAATCTTAATGAAATAACGAATATAACGAAATATACCCATGTTTCGAAGACTATTTCGGGCTATAAATGTTGTCTTCTCCCCCTGGATGTCTGTGTCTTTGAGGTGTGGCAAAAGCGGTTAGGCTGGATTTATTTCTGTCCATCTCGCATGTGTTGTATTTCATTTGTACGCCGCGTCCATATGGCGACACGCACCACCTAATGCATGGAGGTGTGAAATAATCCGAGTACATTGTCAAATGTTGCTTCAAATGAATACCATTTCATAGGAATCTCTGTTCGACACCTGTTCATATTCTGCTATTTAACTGAAATAGCAGCACATTCTGAATGACCAGTTTTCATTGTAAAATGAATTTAAACAATGTCTGCGACCTTTGAAAATAATATACCCATGTTTCGAAGACTATTTCCGGCTATAAATGTTGTCTTCTCCCCCTGGATGTCTGTGTCTTTGAGGTGTGGCAAAAGCGGTTAGGCTGGATTTATTTCTGTCCATTATTTCTGTCCATTTCTGCCGTTGTATTTAATTTGGACGTCACGTCCATATGGCGACTGTAGTGAAATATTTGTATTTATTCATGTTAGCAAACTATGGATAAGCTTAAAATGGGAATAATTTGGGTAAAACTGTGAGCTGGATTTGGGGCCTGTTGACATGTGTTTTTGAGGACAAAGGAAGATGGGGGAAGGTGAGAGCATGTCTTGATTTGCATTCACCTTAGATCTTGCTACAGTGATTGGGAAAACCTAAGATTTGAGGTGTTAGTGATATTTGGGGCTGCCAATCAAGGAGGTCCGAATGGGAGGATCTGATAACTCCTCCCATTGTCAACGAGTATAAACACAGACACACACGCGGTGTTCAGCCTCTTTCCTCTGGCTGGCTCACGTGCAGGTAAATTCGGGATCCCAAAGATTAACTGTATTGAATTTGTACTGTATTGATTGTATTGCATTGTCATATTATCATTAAAGTAGATTATTGTTGACTTGGTATCTCTGGATTCCTTCCTGTATTAACCAGCTTGATAGGGACGCGCGGAGATTTGAAAAGCGGACCAGATATCCCTTTAAATCTCTAACACGACACGCACCACCTAATGCATGTAAGGTGTCCTTGGGTGTGATGAAAGGCGCCCCCTAAAATAAATGTATTATTATTATTATTTGTGGAGTCAGGTGGTCCGTGAGTGTTTTTTATTGGTTAAGTGGTCCTTGGTATGAAAAAGTTAGGGTTCATTGCGGGGAAATTATACAGATGGCTAGTCCGCCCCTGAAGAATATCTATGCACACGTTATTATTAATAATGATTCCAAAAAAATTGATATTTTTTATTTTCAATTTTGTAATCATCTCGCGACCCCCACTCGGGGTCTCGGGGTCTCGGGGTCTCACCCCCACTTTGGGAACCCCTGCACTAAACCCATTTTAAGGCCAATGTGCTGCATTCACACACAAACAAATTAAAGATCAATTTATATGAACACAATTATAAACTGACGAAATATTTTAACCAAATAAGAAGGGAAATAAAAGTAAGCACTAGCAATAATAGCAATAATAGTTTACAAATAAGTCCTTGATCATCATATTACTGATGAAAACAATGCAAAATATGAATGCACAAATATTAAAAAAGACACCTGTGTCCCCGATAGATAAAGGATATAAAAAACATGTTGATCCTGACCTACCGTCTTTGTTAATAAAGCCTCCCATTATTGGATTGAAGAGAGCAGAGGTGCTGGTTTACAGTGAGGTAAAGACTGAGAGTTAAGAGACTGTTTGAAACAATTCCTTTTGTATGAGCTGCATGCAGCAAACCACACCCAATGCAGACTGGGTGTGTACGTGTTATTTTACAGGCTGTTTATCCATTGAGACTAAATTAAAAAGGTTCAGCAAACTCTGTCTTTGAGTGATGTTCTTTAATTTGTTTTAAATGCAGTGCTGTCTTTATATGTACAAGAAAAATTAAATGTTTCGATGAATGTAGTCTTCAGTGTTTCTAGTCATGTCAAGTATTTTTTATTCATACATCCATACTTTGAAAATCACAAACTCTACAACAAAAAGAAACATTTTCATTCTTAGACCCTAAATTGTTATGAGTAAAAACTGCCCAAAAAACCTTAAATGGTGAAATAAATGTTTGTAAACGTTGATGTGTTTACAGAAAGACCAACAATGCAAATGACAGTATGGACAATCAGGATGACAAAGTTAAACATAGCAAACACAAAGAACTTCTCTACAAGTTGATATGTGGCTTTATTCAAAATGGTTTTAATGTAACCTACAACAGATCTACACAGCCTACACATAACACACAAGAACATTATTATTTTCGGATAGACACACCTACATAAAGTAGCATCAAAATGTAGCCGTTGCATTTATTCTGCATTTCACTTTCCAATCTTTTACTTGTCGTGTTTTTTCTCAGCTCTTCAATGATCGTTGGAACTTGTTGATTCACGCCCTTTATTGTTCTGTTTTTAGCACAGCTTAAATATCCAGTCCACCTGCATGTTCAGTGTTCATTTATGGCGCATTTCCACTGCAACGGGGTAGCCCCGTTTAAGCGTCCCTAAGCGTCCTCGCTCAGGCCTCGGGCTGCCTCGCTGGCCGTCCGAGGCCGTGGCGCATTTCTATTACAGTTTAGGACCTGGGGTAGCAACGCAGTGTAGGCGGGGCGATCGGCTTCACATTTCGAGTTGTTCCGTCGAGCTCCTGCTGGATTTTATCATCCCCAATGAGATGAAGGAACGTCGTCACCACCTCGGTCGACCACGGTGTGCTTTTCTTATTAGACGTAGCCATTTTTGTAGCTCCTCCGTTTACAAAATGCTGTTTATAAAAATGCTGCAAGCTTGCTTCTAGATATATATGCGACGCTAGGGATGAACTCACGCGCGATCTTGTGACGATTCTCTCTGACCAATCAGCAGTCGACAGTGTTGACGACACTAGTTCAGCCCTGGCCCTGGTCTGATAGAACCACGATTTTATGGGGCCGGAAAAAGAGGGAAAAAGTACCCGCTAGCCGGTACTAGGCTATATGGAAAGGCCACCAAAAACTGGCCTGGCCGCTTGAGGACGGTTAAGGACGCTTAAACGGGGCTACCCGCTGCAGTGGAAATGCGCCATTAGAGAACTATAAACAGCAAACCCAGTTCACCCTCTCATCAGCATTTACAAGAAAGGCCACCTGTTCTTTTAAAAGCCACCAATATAAAATGCATGTAGAGAGTCCAGCTAGCTCTTTGGATTTTTTGCTCTTAGTTTATGTTCATGACATGATGGCAAATGTGCATGTGTACATATTATTCTGCACTTTTACGAGATTGTAAACCATGAAAACCGAACCAAATGTTTATTTAAGAAAACACTTGTTTCACCACTTTCACAATAAATTCAAAAAACTGTTCGAAAATTGAAGTGCTTCTCTCAGCTTCGTTTCTAGCGATTCTTTCCTGCATCTCTTCCAGTTGTTTCCTTGCCCCCTGCTTTTCTTTTTCCTGAGTTGCTATAATCCTGTTGAACTTCTCCCCTTCTGCCTTTGCTTCCCGGAGTTGTTGCTCATACTTTTCTGATATTTTCTTCTCCTGGTCCTCCTGCTGTTTGCGTATTTCCTCTTTTCTCTCTTTAAGAATTCTCCCTTTTTCCTCTTCTATGGCCCTCTCTGCCTCCTGGAACATTTCATTGGTGTAATGGCTTCCTCCGTTCTTCTCTGTTATATAACTGATCTTGTCGAGCAGCTCTTTGACCTGAGAACGATCCTTCACCTTATTATTGAAGACGTGGTACTGGCCGTTACATCTGTCCACAAGTTCCTGCAGATCTTCGCTTTCCTTCACGAACTCTTCGATAGTTTGGTCTTCGAGCAGGTCACCGTGAGTAAAGAGAACCATGCTGTATCTGTCTGCTTCCTTTCCAAAGATTTCCTGAATCTTCTGCACTGACTGCTTTTCTTCATCTGTGAATCTACCCAGTCTGATGACGACCAAGAAGACATGAGGTCCAGGAGCAGCAAAAACAATGCTCTGAACAATATATTTTCTGGTCTTCTCTTCATCAGTGCTGGTGTCAAACAGACCTGGAGTGTCAATGACAGCAACCTTTTGTCCATCCACTTCCCCAAAGGCCTTAGCACAGTCTTTAGTCAGAGATTTAGAAGAAAACTTTGATTTAAAGTGCTCTTTTCCCAGAATGGTGTTTCCTGTGGTGCTCTTCCCAGATCCAGTTTTCCCAACGATCACAATCCGGACAGCCTTATCATTGTGGTAGTATGTATCGCCCGAGTATGTGTTGTGGCAGTTTGTAGAATGTTGAGACGGACAGACTGAAAAACAGAAAAAAACTATTTGTTGCTGTGTTCATACGTTTTTGTTCTTTGCAATTCCACAAAAGACCTTTGAGGTTCCAAATAGAACCTTTTATGGTTATACAAATAAACCACAAGGAGTGCCTGTCAGACCCTCTAACATCTGATATCCCCTCTCTTTGTACATTAACACATTTACATCAAACCAAACAATATAATCTAAAATCACAACACATTAAATCAGAAGGAAACCCAACTTGTGCTGGAGCATTGGCAGGGAATCACACAAGGAACATAAAACCAGACATCAGGAACCAGAGGGGATCATAGACGACTGTTACGTGCCGTAGTGTTTGTGTGGTTGTGTGGGTGTTTTTCTCTCTCTCCCTCTGACTCCCCAGGTGCAGCCTTGATTGTCCCCAGGTGCAGCCTTGATTGTCCCCAGGTGCAGCCTCTCCCCGGGTGCTCCCAATCCTCAATCAGGGCCTCCATATAGGACAGGAGTAAGGTTGCTGCTTTCTATCTCCTTCTCATCTGGCTGCATGTGTGCAGCATGTCTCTGTGTGAGACCCAGCATAGTTGTGTGTTGTTTACTGTAAGTTTGTTTTGTAATTGGGCTGGTGAGCCGCCTTACTTATTAACTAATTAAAACCTCACTTAAACTCCTTCAGCATTCAGTTTCCTCTCCTTTTTCTCTCGTCCGGCTATCTTGTGTGTCGCTACTTCCCTTGGTACCCCTAGCTCTACAAGGGAACGTAACAACGACGTATAGAAAGCGAACATAAGGGAAGACATATATCAGACAAACAGGCGGGAAAAGACAGGAAGTGAAAACAGACATCACACACGGGGGTAAATGGACTGTACTTATAAATCTCTTTATCAGGTCTTCTTTACACACTGCGAGTCATTCACCCATTCACACCTCATTCATTCAGAGCAGCACTACTTGCTGTGAGCTCTGAGGGCTAACAGCTAACGGCTGATGTTGGTTTTCTGTGGTTCTCATTGAAGATGACGTCACGGCTCCGCCTACACTGCGTTACTATAGTTACTGCCCCAGCTACTAAACTGTAATGGAAACACAGCATAAAGTGAGCCTGGCCTACCAAGGCCTAACTCTACCGTACTAAGCCGAGCGAGGCCCTGCAGTGGAAATGCGCCATAAGCTTCCCTAGGCTCCTCATATCTGTTCAGAAACTAGACAAAAGTTAAACAAGTACAAACCACAGACTGCCTGTGTCATGGCGAATACAGTCGCTGGTTTATTTATGTCTGTAGGCCGTTGTTGTGAGTGTGGACGGTCGGAGCATATACAACGTTAGCTTAGCCAATCTCCATTCAGAAAACACGCATTTTAAAAGGTGTTTCGCCTGCCGTCTGTCTGCAGACTTGTTAAAGCATTAATTCATGGTTTTTACTAACCGGTATCAGTATGTTGTTACTTCGGCATCATTTTGAAACGTGTATTACAATTAAATCACGGTGAAATATGTTCATCTTGTTGTAGTTGCCAGAGATTCTCTCACTAGTTTAGCATACTCAGCCCGGTTGTTGGCCCGGAAAGAACCTCGATTTTGCCGAGCCAGAAAAACTGAAAAAGTACCCGCTAGCGCCACACACACACACACACACACACACACACACACACACACACACACACACACACACACACACACACACACACACACACACTCACTCACTCACTCACTCACTCACTCACTCACTCACTCACTCACTCACTCACTCACTCACTCACTCACTCACTCACTCACACACACACACACACACACACACACACACACACACACACACACACCATTGGATTGGCAATCAGGAGCAACTCAGGCTTCAATATCTTACCCGAGGAATCGTCGACATGTTGACGGCACGGGCTGGGATCTAACCCACAACATCCTGGTTGAAAGACGACCGCACTCCCAAGCAGCCAAAGTCGCAGGAACACTTTTTAAAAGCAAACAAAACACGTGAAACACAAAAAACATGATCATGACAGACACACGGTCGGATTCCAGATGTCCCTGATAATGCTGTCAACATAATTCAGCTAGGAAGGATTCAGCGGGGGAATGACCATGAAATATAGGAGGGTAGCTGGAAAGGGGCATAGGAACTCGGCAGACAGCCTTCGATTGAAACAGTTGTGGAGCAAATGCCGTACATTTTTACACAAAAAGCAAGTTTTTATTTAAGAAAATCTGATAACCAATTCAGTTGGCCGAGGCAGGGGGAGGATGAAGAGGAATCCTCACGAGTATTTTTTTTCATTCAAATTCCTCGCTGACACTTGCATTTCGAAATGAATAACTGCAGATCACGTGAATGGAGCAATAAAACAGGCTTTTAATGCGCTCAGAGCCGATATTGATAAGACCGCTTTTAATAAAGGACATGATGAGGGCTTTTCTCCGGGGTGTGAAGTGAAGCTTTAAACAACAGACTTTTGAAGGAGTTTGTACCTGTTTACGCATTGTGCTAATACTCATAAATGCACACAGTTATCATAGCCAGAGCAGCAGCATTGTGTTGCCTGTTTAACACACCGCAAACTAATAACCTAGCCTATTACAAGCTTACTAACCCTAATAAGTTTAATTCTGACAGACAAACTCCCCGACACCCTCAACATGAAGGCCCATTCCCAAACCGCCCCCTACACCCTGACCTTACCCCTCTATTTGCGCGTTCATGCGGAGGGTCCGCCATATTAAGGGCTGTTCCAAAGCAACGAGTGTGGAGCGGTGTGGAGGGGGAGTGGGCTATCAAGCCCTCAAACAGCGAGTCTGTAGCGGTGCTGACTTGAGACCGTCTCTACCTGACCGGAGTCACGCTGTGTGTGTCCGTCAGGAAACACGCTGTTAACAAGTAGTTCCGGCAAACATCCACTGATAAACTGCAATGTTAACAACCTCATGATGACCTCATATGTTTTAACTTAGGATCAAACCTGTGTTTAGTCTAGAAAAAGGTAAATGTGTGCATTTTATTATAAAGTTGTGTATATTTACAGACCGTTGCAAAAGAAGCTTATAAACATCAGGTTTAAAACTAAAATAGCTTTGAAACACAATGAAAGATGTTTGGAGTTTTATTTGAGTTATTCATTTAAACTTTTTGTCTAAGAGAAGCTGATTTGAAACCGTTGTTACAAACAGTTACGGCACTTCCTGTTTCTGCCGGAGAGAGGGGAGGCCGTCCCAAAGCTTGCTGCTGTATTTACTCCCTCCATCTGACAGGAGGGAGCCTCGTTGAGCTGCGAGTGTGGCTACAGACAGAAGAGGCTTCTCAATACTCAAATTTCTACTCCTCGACTCCCCTCTTCGGTTCCCCTCCTCGATACTTAGTCCCGCCCACAGGAGATGCGAGCGGAGGACCGAGGAGGGGAACCGAGGAGAGAGGAGGGGAAGCAGCAGACGTTTAAAGAAATGAGAACTCCTCTCCTCTGAGCGGTCATATTAAAGCGACGTCCGTTCATTATTACGTGGCAACAGCTGCATCAGCTGTCGAGTGTTTTGTCATAGCGCTGTATCTCTGTTAGATCAGCTGAACATTGTTCCCCCACATATTTACTTTGAATTCATTGAGAGTGCGGTATAATGAGACACTAACAGGCTACAGATACGGACACACAAATATATGTATATAAATATATACAATTTAAAGTATGAGAGCACTCTCATAATAACGTAACACAATCAGAGACTGGATATATCCCCCCCTCTCTCTGTCGCTGAAATGGGGAATTGAAATTACGGGCCAAAAGTTGTATTTACAAGTATTAACTTGTAATAATAATAAGCCACTTACAATTTTCCGTGAGATCAGGGAGCAGATATAAGATGGAAGTTTCCCTAACATACAAAGCCATGTTAGGGAAACTTCCATCTTACATCTGCTCCCTGATCTCACGGAGAATTGTAAGTGGCTACTGCCTGAGATCGCATGCTGTGGTTTTATTAAATGAGCCAACTGCTAGGACTGTCTTAGGGAGACAGCTTTTAGATGCGCAGCTCCTCTGTCTTGGAACAGTCTGCAAATTAAATGGAAACTGAGCAATCTGGTGCCACTAAATGTTTTTAAAGCTCGGTTGGATGCTACTCAATCAGAAGCTGTTGGTACATGTTTATGTGGATAATTATGTAAACGATGCTGTATGATGTCCTTTTGTTGTTCTATTTATGTTGTTATGTTTCATGTGGAACTACTTGAGCAGGTCTCCCTTGAAAAAGAGATCAATAATCTCAATTGGATTTATCTGGATAAATAAAGATTTGAAATTAAATTAAAAGTAAGCAGAGGACACCAAACCAACTGAGACCCGTCTGTCCGCCGCATCTACGCACTGTACAACACACACCTACATACTGTACCACACACACACATACACACTGCCTACAACACACACTTACAGCTCCTAAAGCATAATCAGGCTACAGCCGTTGTGTATTTTATTATGTGAAGCACTAAATGGTCTTAGAAAAATATCGACTCTTTGTACTACAGCAAATAAAGAGAGTAATGTAGGCCTGTTATACTGAGTGATATTGTACACTGCTCTGCTTTCTGCACGGACCTCACAGCTGTTCTCTCTGGAAACATCGCGACGCGATGAAAGCAGTTTCTAAAATAATATCCAGGGGATGCATGCAGAGCTGTCATTGGCTGAGATAAGTCCGGCCGTGCGTCACGCCTCCACCGTTCCCGGAAATGCATCCGTGGAGGAGCCGTGGAGGAACCATCAGTGTATCCTCGGTTATAGCTCCTCCAGAGAGCCTCCTCGACGCTCGATCCTCGGTCCTCGGTGTGCATTTAGAGAAATGAGACGTCCTTCAAAATGGCGCGCTGAAATTCATTTCCGGGTCACTACCGGAGGACCGAGGACCGAGGAGTCGAAGAGGGGACATTTTAGTATTGAGAAGCCTCTAGAGTTCACTCCATCACGGAGGGGTAGGGTCGAGGGAGTGGTTTGGGATTGGGCCGAAATGGTAGGCCTGTACGTAAAAGTAAATGGATGAATAGAACAATTATTTATATTGTATGAAGAAAGTGGTTTGTGCTCTTTTTTGTTGTTAAAGGTCACCTATCATGCTATTTTTAGGCAAAGCATAGGTCTCAGCTATATACAAATATATAAAAAACATGTCTATGAAGTGTTTTGCTCCAAATACCCAAACAGATCACCAATTCTAGCCTCATATCCCTCTATTTCACTTCCTGTTTCAAAAGTGCTGATTTGGTTATAAAGCTTTATAGGGGGTATGGAGCTCAAAGTAAGGTAAATAAATAATAAAATAAAGGTCTTTTATTTTGAAACTCTACTTCAGATTGTCCTGATTTTCTCTGAGTGACTAGATGGGGTATCCTGCTATCACCCTGAAGTGAAATAAGTATTTGATACTGGAGGGTTTTTGTTTTATTCTGATCTAAAACAGAGGGATGATAGCTCATATATGAGACTTCAAAGGTCTTTTATCTTGAAACTCTTTAAGTTTTACATTCACTCAGATATAATGTCGTAGTTATACGTAGTTCGTCTTACATTATTATTGATCACATTAGGCCTATATAGTATATATTTTTAATATGTTTGGTATAATTGTTATTGACCGAGTAAGCACTTTTATTTTGAAGGCAGTTTTTCCAGGCTGCTACCATAATGCATAGGATATTCGTGAACGGCAAAACAACGCGGATGTTGGCTTTACTGTGTTTTCCGAAGTGGAGGCTGGCTTGACCGCAGTCAGCAGAACCTTCTCAGGTGAAGTTAACAAGGGATTTTTTTGTTTTTTAATATTCTGAAAGATCCACCCCTCGCCGATAAAAACAGCGCTGGTCTGTAAAATAAAAATACTTACCCTCTCCAATCACAAAGGAGTTCATATACTGCAGATTTAAAATCAACAGGTTTGGCTTGTAAGCGTTTCCCTCTATGGCAGAGTTGGACTATGACATGATGTAGCCTATGTGTAACGATAAATATATATTTAAATGAAAATGTTACAATCAACAGCATGAATACAGTTTATCAACTTACCATTCAGCAGGGCAAATTTGCTGACCATAGTTAGTTAGGAAGAGCTGGTCTGCTGCTGAGCTGAGGAAGTGAAGTTAGTCTGCAACAACACTTCCTTAAACAGAGACTTCATGAAGCAAACCACACCCACACACTGCTGACATCACAGTCTGAAGTTCAGCTACAGTGGGATGATTATTAGATTAAAACGTATAAAATCCTTCCCTTAATAAACAGAAGAAGGGGAAATACAGCCTCATGTGTTCAGATTTACATATTTTAGATATAAGCCCTCAATGCTCTTTACATATCAAGATTCACCCATTCATACACATTCATAGAGGCAGAGTCTGCCATGCAAGGTGCTCAGGGAGACTAACATCCACACACACTCACACACGTTGGCCATACCAATTTATTAAGTATCTTACCCAAGTCACATGGACATGTAGAGCTACATTTTATTTACAGTTTGAATGCACCTTCAGCAGTCTGCAGCTCTCAAAGTGTTTTAAAAGAAACATGGACAGTTAGCTTCAGCATTTTTGCATAATAGTGATTTAATCAAATCTGGCTTCATATTATTAAAAGCAACATGAGCCCTCCTTTGCAGGAGGGCGTGGTCAGCTGCAGCTCATGCAAAGACATGGTGGAGGAGAGCAAATAGAGCGAAATAAAGCATGGCTAAAATGCATGATCTGTTTGGTATTTTGAAAAAAAAACGTATGAATATACGTATGTATGGCCCTACAATATATTATTAAAATATAGCATGATAGTTCCCTGCGGAGCTCTTCCCAGCTTCAGTCTTCCCCTCCATCACAATCCTGAGCCCCTCATCATTGTATTTGATATCTGAGAAGAAGGCTGAACAAAATAAACAATTTCTGAAAGTTCAATGCGTTGGAAAGTTTCAATGCACAAACAGGATTTATTTTCAGACACTGACACACAGTCCAGAAGAATGTGATTTTAGATGCTACTTTTATCTGACAATTTAGAGTTTGACTCCTTCAGCAGCTGTTGTGTGGGACTGATCCACACTGTTACAGCAGCCTGAACTTTGTCAAAGTGTTTTCAAAAGAAACATTGACAGGCTGATTCAGCATACATCATACACTGAACAAAAATATAAATGCACGTTCCTCGAACGGGAACCGCGTTGGTGTGAAAGGGGCAACAGGGTCATTATGTCACCTAATGGGCGTTTTTGGTTCTTCTAGTACATTTAGCTGATAACGCTACTGGAATATTTTCTTGAATAAAAATGATAAATGTAAGCCTTACAGTATTATTTCCCTTTCTTCTTGAACCACTGTTTGTCAGCCACATGAGGGTGCTGTATTTCAAGGATTTAAATCAAAGTTGACCTTTCTCTGCTTCACAGCATCTGAGCTTAACTGCCACATCCTGTAATGAACAGAGACTGCACGCTACAGTTCAAAGTGCTAACCACAGTCTGCAGGTTTTTGTGAACTTTAGAAGAACAAGGTGCATTTCTTGTAAATGCTGAAGGGAGGGGGGAGCAGGGTTTACTGATGGCAGTTATCTAAAAGTGAAAGGAAAATAAAGTCAAATGACAAATGTAAGGGTGTCAATCATTTGAGACCCTGAATAAGAGGTTGAATAGATTCATATCACATGAACGTGAAAGCCTAGAGGGAAGAGAAATGGCGGTAAATAAAGGAACATGGTCAGCTTAATCACTATTACACTGAACAAAAATATAAATGCAACACTTTTGTTTTTGCTCCCATTTTTCATGAGATGAACTCAAAGATCTAAAACATTTTCTATTTACACAAAATAACCATTTCTCTCAAATATTGTTTACAAATCTGAAAAAATCTGTGATAGTGAGCACTTCTCCTTTGCCGAGATAATCCATCCCACCTCACAGGTGTGGCATATCCAGATGCTGATTAGACAGCATGATTATTGCACCGGTGTGCCTTAGGCTGGCCACAATAAAAGGCCATTCTGAAATGTTCAGTTTTATCAAACAGCACAATGCCACAGATGTCGCAAGTTTTGAGGGAGCGTGCAATTGGCATGCTGACAGCAGGAATGTCCACCAGAGCTGTTGCCCGTGAATTGAATGTTCATTTCTCTACCATAAGCCGTCTCCAAAGGCGTTTCAGAGAATTTGGCAGTACATCCAACCGGCCTCACAACCGCAGACCACGTGTAACCACACCAGCCCAGGACCTCCACATCCAGCATGTTCACCTCCAAGATCGTCTGAGATCAGCCACTCGGACAGCTGCTACTCGGACAGCTCGTCTGCATGCTCGTCGTCCTCATCGGGGTCTCCACCTGACTCCGGTTCGTCGTGGTAACTGACTTGAGTGGGCAAATGCTCACATTCGATGGCGTCTGGCACGTTGGAGAGGTGTTCTCTTCACGGATGAATCCCGGTTTTCACTGTTCAGGCAAGATGGCAGACAGCTAGACCCTCCAGAAAAACGCGATTCTGCGATCGCAGAATTTACCGCATAATCAGCAAAATGGCGCAGATCTTTAAAAGGCCACATATTTATCAAAAGGGCGCATAATCCCCGCATTTTTCCAAACAAAGTTGAGAGGAAAAAAAAGTTAACTCGTCTTGACGTGAAGTGATGATGATGATGATGACGCGACGTCATCAGCTCGCGCATCACAACACCGTAGAGTGGAGCACACGAGAGAGAAAACACCAAGATGAAAAAATCTAATCCATCTCATTTACCGACGAACATTTCTGCTAAAGACCGGGCAAAGCAGTTCCCCGATGTCTCGCACGAAAGTGGGGGGAAACTATTCTGCACCCCTTGCAACTGTGTTGGAGCATAAGAGAACATCGACGGTGACGACCCACTTTAATTCATTCAAACATTCGAAAAGGCTTTCTGCTGCTGCGGACAAGAAAGCCAAACAACTCACGTTCACCGAGGCATCGACCTCCAAAACCCTTTCGAGGGCTACAAGAAACGAGGTGAGTAGCCTACAAGATTGAAGCTGGTCAGATAACGAACGAGTAAATGAAAATAGAATGAGGCGGAGAAGTGTGTGTGTGTGTGAGAGAGAGAGAGAGTGTGATTAAAATAGCCCAATTTATTTTACAATAAATAAACATTGAATGTGTTTAATTGAATAGGAAAGGGGTTTAACGTTAGTGGCAGGTTGTGTGTGAGAGAGAATAAATAAATAAATAAGACAGCCCAATATTTATTTTTTCCGCATATTTCGCAACTTTCCGCATATTTCGCAATTTCATTACATTTACATTACATGTCACTTGTTAGACGCTTTTATCCAAAGCGACTTACATACTCAATACTGTGGGCAATCCCCACAGGAGCAATTTGGGGTGAAGTGTCTTGCACATTTCACGCATAAAATCACATAAAACCCCGCATGTTTGATCGCATAATCAAGGATTTTAGCCCGCGTTTTTCTGGAGGGTCTGGACAGCGTGTGTGGTGTCGTGTGGATGAGCGGTTTTCTGATGTCAATGTTGTGAATCGAGTGGCCCATGGTGGTGGTGGGGTTATGGTATGGGCAGGCGTATGTTATGGACGACGAACACAGGTGCATTTTATTGATGGCATTGTGAATGCACAGAGATACCGTGACGAGATCCTGAGGACCATTGTTGTGCCATTCATCCACGACCATCACCTCATGTTGCAGCATGATAATGCTGCCCCATGTTGCAAGGATCTGTACACAATTCCTGGAGGCTGAAAACATCCCAGTTCTTGCATGGCCAGCATACTCACCGGACATGTCACCCATTGAGCATGTTTGGGATGCTCTGGATCGGCGTATACGACAGCGTGTTCCAGTTCCTGCCAATATCCAGCAACTTGGCACAGCCATTGAAGAGGAGTGGACCAACATTCCACAGGCCACAATCAACAACCTGATCAACTCTATGCGAAGGAGATGTGTTGCACTGCGTGAGGCAAATGGTGGTCACACCAGATACTGACTGGTTTTCGGACCCCCCCAATAAAGCAAAACTGAACATTTCAGAGTGGCCTTTTATTGTGGCCAGCCTAAGGCACACCGGTGCAATAATCATGCTGTCTAATCAGCATCTTGATATGCCACACCTGTGAGGTGGGATGGATTATCTCGGCAAAGGAGTAGTGCTCACTATCACAGATTTTTTCAGATTTGTGAACAATATTTGAGAGAAATGGTTATTTTGTGTTTATAGAAAATGTTTTAGATCTTTGAGTTCATCTCATGAAAAATGGGAGCAAAAACAAAAGTGTTGCATTTATATTTTTGTTCAGTGTAATAGTGATTAAACTGACCATGTTCCTTTATTTACCGCCATTTCTCTCCCCTCTAGGCTTTCACGTTCATGTGATATGAATCTATTCAACCTCTTATTCAGGGTCTCAAATGATTGACACCCTTACATTTGTCATTAGAATTTATTTTCCTTTCACTTTTAGATAACTGCCATCAATAAACCCTGCTCCCCCCTCCCTTCAGCATTTACAAGAAATGCACCTTGTTCTTCTAAATGCCACACAAACCTGCAGACTGTGGTTAGCACTTTGAACTGTAGCTCTCAGTCTCTGGTCATGACAGGATGTGGCAGTTAAGCTCAGATGCTGTGAAGCAGAGAAAGGCCAACTTTGAATTAAATCCTTGAAATACAGCACCCTCATGTGGCTGACAAACAGTGGTTCAAGAAGAAAGGGAAATAATACTGTAAGGCGTTATTTATCATTTTTATTCAAGAAAATATTCCAGTAGCGTTATCAGCTAAATGTACTAGAAGAACCAAAAACGCCCATTAGGTGACATAATGACCCTGTTGCCCCTTTCACAACAACTCGGTTCCTGTTCTAGCTCCGTGCTTGCGCTCTTCTGGTTCGGAAACGTTTTTTCAATCAGGAGAGACGTGATGTATAAGTACTTGTTTATTATCGGGACACATAATATGCAGGAATAGTGATTGACGTATTACAGTAAGTGACTGTAATGATGTTTTGGCGATTAGGCCCCGGGTTTGCAGGATGATCATTCAGGAGGGAAAGAACCGCTCTGATGAACCCCCCCGGGGTCTAGACACTGGTGGTGGTGATAGTAGTTCGGTCCGATCTGAAGGGAGAAGGTTTTAGCTTGGCCCTGTATTAGGAGACAGGAGGCGAAGGGG